AAGTAGTTAGTAAAAATTAATCAATTTAAATAGTTTTCTAAATTAATCAGTGCAATATTCTAAAGTCCCACACACACACACACACACATGCACACATAACTGTGAAGAAAAATAAAATTTCCGATTTAGTTGATTAACCATAATAATTTTAAAATTATGGAGAAAAAAAATAAACGACTCGTTTGAAAATTTATAATCTTTTAAATAAATAAATAAATAAATAAACAAGTAATTTTTCAACAATAATATCTTTTAAATAACTAAACCGGTCAAGATATTGTTCATGATACTTGAGACAATTTGCAAGGTTTAAAACTGATGAGTTAATATCCCGAGAAAAAATGTTTCTATATAATCATATATAATCGTATATAATCATATATGATTATATATGATTATATATGGAATCACATATATAATTATATAGAATTATATATAATCATATATAATTATATAGAATTATATATAATCATATATAATTATATAGAATTATATATAATCATATATAATTATATAGAATTATATATAATCATATATAATTATATAGAATTATATATAATCATATATAATTATATAGAATTATATATAATCATATATAATTATATAGAATTATATATAATCATATATAATTATATAGAATTATATATAATCATATATAATTATATAGAATTATATATAATCATATATAATTATATAGAATTATATATAATCATATATAATTATATAGAATTATATATAATCATATATAATTATATAGAATTATATATAATCATATATAATTATATAGAATTATATATAATCATATATAATTATATAGAATTATATATAATCATATATAATTATATAGAATTATATATAATCATATATAATTATATAGAATTATATATAATCATATATAATTATATAGAATTATATATAATCATATATAATTATATAGAATTATATATAATCATATATAATTATATAGAATTATATATAATCATATATAATTATATAGAATTATATATAATCATATATAATTATATAGAATTATATATAATCATATATAATTATATAGAATTATATATAATCATATATAATTATATAGAATTATATATAATCATATATAATTATATAGAATTATATATAATCATATATAATTATATAGAATTATATATAATCATATATAATTATATAGAATTATATATAATCATATATAATTATATAGAATTATATATAATCATATATAATTATATAGAATTATATATAATCATATATAATTATATAGAATTATATATAATCATATATAATTATATAGAATTATATATAATCATATATAATTATATAGAATTATATATAATCATATATAATTATATAGAATTATATATAATCATATATAATTATATAGAATTATATATAATCATATATAATTATATAGAATTATATATAATCATATATAATTATATAGAATTATATATAATCATATATAATTATATAGAATTATATATAATCATATATAATTATATAGAATTATATATAATCATATATAATTATATAGAATTATATATAATCATATATAATTATATAGAATTATATATAATCATATATAATTATATAGAATTATATATAATCATATATAATTATATAGAATTATATATAATCATATATAATTATATAGAATTATATATAATCATATATAATTATATAGAATTATATATAATCATATATAATTATATAGAATTATATATAATCATATATAATTATATAGAATTATATATAATCATATATAATTATATAGAATTATATATAATCATATATAATTATATAGAATTATATATAATCATATATAATTATATAGAATTATATATAATCATATATAATTATATAGAATTATATATAATCATATATAATTATATAGAATTATATATAATCATATATAATTATATAGAATTATATATAATCATATATAATTATATAGAATTATATATAATCATATATAATTATATAGAATTATATATAATCATATATAATTATATAGAATTATATATAATCATATATAATTATATAGAATTATATATAATCATATATAATTATATAGAATTATATATAATCATATATAATTATATAGAATTATATATAATCATATATAATTATATAGAATTATATATAATCATATATAATTATATAGAATTATATATAATCATATATAATTATATAGAATTATATATAATCATATATAATTATATAGAATTATATATAATCATATATAATTATATAGAATTATATATAATCATATATAATTATATAGAATTATATATAATCATATATAATTATATAGAATTATATATAATCATATATAATTATATAGAATTATATATAATCATATATAATTATATAGAATTATATATAATCATATATAATTATATAGAATTATATATAATCATATATAATTATATAGAATTATATATAATCATATATAATTATATAGAATTATATATAATCATATATAATTATATAGAATTATATATAATCATATATAATTATATAGAATTATATATAATCATATATAATTATATAGAATTATATATAATCATATATAATTATATAGAATTATATATAATCATATATAATTATATAGAATTATATATAATCATATATAATTATATAGAATTATATATAATCATATATAATTATATAGAATTATATATAATCATATATAATTATATAGAATTATATATAATCATATATAATTATATAGAATTATATATAATCATATATAATTATATAGAATTATATATAATCATATATAATTATATAGAATTATATATAATCATATATAATTATATAGAATTATATATAATCATATATAATTATATAGAATTATATATAATCATATATAATTATATAGAATTATATATAATCATATATAATTATATAGAATTATATATAATCATATATAATTATATAGAATTATATATAATCATATATAATTATATAGAATTATATATAATCATATATAATTATATAGAATTATATATAATCATATATAATTATATAGAATTATATATAATCATATATAATTATATAGAATTATATATAATCATATATAATTATATAGAATTATATATAATCATATATAATTATATAGAATTATATATAATCATATATAATTATATAGAATTATATATAATCATATATAATTATATAGAATTATATATAATCATATATAATTATATAGAATTATATATAATCATATATAATTATATAGAATTATATATAATCATATATAATTATATAGAATTATATATAATCATATATAATTATATAGAATTATATATAATCATATATAATTATATAGAATTATATATAATCATATATAATTATATAGAATTATATATAATCATATATAATTATATAGAATTATATATAATCATATATAATTATATAGAATTATATATAATCATATATAATTATATAGAATTATATATAATCATATATAATTATATAGAATTATATATAATCATATATAATTATATAGAATTATATATAATCATATATAATTATATAGAATTATATATAATCATATATAATTATATAGAATTATATATAATCATATATAATTATATAGAATTATATATAATCATATATAATTATATAGAATTATATATAATCATATATAATTATATAGAATTATATATAATCATATATAATTATATAGAATTATATATAATCATATATAATTATATAGAATTATATATAATCATATATAATTATATAGAATTATATATAATCATATATAATTATATAGAATTATATATAATCATATATAATTATATAGAATTATATATAATCATATATAATTATATAGAATTATATATAATCATATATAATTATATAGAATTATATATAATCATATATAATTATATAGAATTATATATAATCATATATAATTATATAGAATTATATATAATCATATATAATTATATAGAATTATATATAATCATATATAATTATATAGAATTATATATAATCATATATAATTATATAGAATTATATATAATCATATATAATTATATAGAATTATATATAATCATATATAATTATATAGAATTATATATAATCATATATAATTATATAGAATTATATATAATCATATATAATTATATAGAATTATATATAATCATATATAATTATATAGAATTATATATAATCATATATAATTATATAGAATTATATATAATCATATATAATTATATAGAATTATATATAATCATATATAATTATATAGAATTATATATAATCATATATAATTATATAGAATTATATATAATCATATATAATTATATAGAATTATATATAATCATATATAATTATATAGAATTATATATAATCATATATAATTATATAGAATTATATATAATCATATATAATTATATAGAATTATATATAATCATATATAATTATATAGAATTATATATAATCATATATAATTATATAGAATTATATATAATCATATATAATTATATAGAATTATATATAATCATATATAATTATATAGAATTATATATAATCATATATAATTATATAGAATTATATATAATCATATATAATTATATAGAATTATATATAATCATATATAATTATATAGAATTATATATAATCATATATAATTATATAGAATTATATATAATCATATATAATTATATAGAATTATATATAATCATATATAATTATATAGAATTATATATAATCATATATAATTATATAGAATTATATATAATCATATATAATTATATAGAATTATATATAATCATATATAATTATATAGAATTATATATAATCATATATAATTATATAGAATTATATATAATCATATATAATTATATAGAATTATATATAATCATATATAATTATATAGAATTATATATAATCATATATAATTATATAGAATTATATATAATCATATATAATTATATAGGATGATGAAATGTATTCTGAATCATCTGTTTCATCAAGAGCTCATGAGTCACAAAAATTTACATGATTATGACTCCAGTTCCACGCCATCGAATTCAGTTGTTGATTCACCGCATAATAGTGATTTGGAACCAGAAGTAGAAAATCCTGAAAACAATGACAATGTCTCAGATGAAAATCAAATTGATGCTAATAACGACGGCCAAATTCTCGCTGACTCATCTCCTATTGAAAAACCTACTGATATTTCATCTATTATAACAGGTTGTCGAATAGTTGATATCGGCTATTTCATAAAGGAGTTCACTTAGTTGGGTCATGCTAAGAATCATATGGCTCATTGCGTTCGTCGTGGAGAAAACTTTCATTGTTTTGCAAAGTTAGATATTGGTTTAAATACTTTACTTTCCTGGAAATGTCTCGAGTGCAAAATGATAACTAAATTTTATACAAATCCATTAAAGCCAGAGACCAAATTTAATATCAATGAGACTGCTTCGATAAGTGTGATTGGTTCTGCAAGTACTTTCGCAGCATTTCAAACTGTTTTAGCAGTGTTTGACATACCATCTATCACAAATAAAACGTATGAAAAGCATCGAAAGAAAATAGTGGAACCTCTTAAGAACGTTCTTGCTGAGGAAATGCATTTAAATGCATTGGAAGAAGCCAAAATTGCTATATAAAATGGCGATGTTATCTCGAACGGCACTCCTTTTATCAAAGTTATAACTGATTGTTTTTATGATAAGAGAAGTTATCGTGGAGGCAGACACGATGCCCTAGGAGCTTCAGTTGCAGTAATTGGATGTGCTACTGGAAAAATAATTGATATTGAAGTATTAAATAAATACTGTTACACGTGTCGTTATCATGAAAATAGAAAAATAGAGCCACCTCCTCATAAGTGCTTCATGAATTACGATCGGAAGAAAAGCTCTTCAAGCATGGAACCGCATGCAACTGCTGTACTATTCAATCGTAGTTTAAAACTTCATGGATTGATTTACAAAACTATGGTTTCTGATGATGACAGTGCTACATTAAAAGCAGTACGAGATTCTGACCCTTATAAGGCCTTCGGTATTGAAGTGGATAGAATTAAATGTTCTTTCCATATTTTCCGTAGCATCGGTAATAAACTAAGAGAAGCTTCAAAAATTCGTGTTCCAAGTCGACGAGTTCCTGCTGCTGTACGAAAAAGAATTAAGTTCAGTGGTTTAAGAATTCGTCAAATTGTAACTGCTGACATTGAACGTTTAAGAAAAGATCTTGAACCTGAAAGCCTCTCAAAAGATGAAAAAATGAAAATTTTTGAACAAAACACAGAAGTATTGAGGGAAAATATTCTGCTTGCTCCGCATCATGTTTTTGGCAACCATGAAAAGTGTCCTCGTGAATGGTCTTGTGATACATCCAAACCGAATCATTTGATAAAAATAAAACAATATGGTTTGTTTGCCCGTGTTGAGAAAATAGTCACTGATCTGAGTCAAAATTCTGTACATTTATTACATTTCCTCAATACAAATATAATTGAGCAATATCATGGCATTTTAGCAAAGTATCTGTCTGGAAAAAGAATTCAGTATGGTGGTGCCGATGAATTTCAGGACAGAGTTTACATGGGTACTCTAGACCAGATGACTTCAGGATGTCATTTATCTAGATTTTATAAGTTTTGCAGAAAAATCGTTCCTGAAAGAATTGAAAAACTAGAGTAAGAGCGTAATTTGCAAAAAAATTTAAAAACTAAGTGCCGAGAAGTCTCAAAACAAATGAAAAAGAGTCGAAGCAGACATTGCGGACCCGATAAAGATTATGGCCCCAATGCAACTCAACCTGATCTAAGTGAAACAGATCCTAGTAACTATGAGCAATACAAAGAAGCTCATCATGAAAAGCTTCGTAACCGTCAAAAAAATCGAACGACACTTGAAACTGAGACAAGAAATCATCCATTCAGTGAACCACACGGTTATGAAAAAGATATGATTCCTTCTCACCTGTTTGGAAAAATATGTGGAATGCGGGAAACAACTTCATGTAGTTCTGTCATCAATGATATATGTAATCCTTTCTTGTTTCATGAAGATGTATTGCTGACAATGGAAGATCAGAGACTGAAAGCTCTTCAGCTTTTGGAAACGCAAATCGGTAAAAAAATTGTACCTTGCGGTATAGTTGTTTCTCATAATGCTGAAACCTTTTACTTATGTGCAAGGCCTGACGGTCTTGTTGATAACGATTCTATTGTTATTATTGTTAGTGTCTCGGATGATGAGCAAACTAACATCAATGCCGCTTTACACAGTCATAAAGATATGAAAAATTTGTTTGCTAAGACAGCATCCAATAAAATCAACACTAAACATCCAATATTCTCCATAATTCAAGGTCAACTTTATGTTACTAACAAGCAATTTTGCTACTTTGCGGTTTATACGCCTAATGATTTAAAAATTGCTGAAATAATTCATAAAGATGACAATTTCTGGTTGGAAAAAATGAAGATGAAGCTTCACAGGTTCTATTATTCTGCTCTTATCGATGGAATCGTTGACAGTAGATTATCACGGAGCTTGCCTATTCGCGAGGCTCCATTTACTATCGCAGCAAGAGCTAAAAAGAATCTGGCAGAAACTAATAAAGATACCCCAATAGCACAGCAGTCCAGTAGTGCTTCAACTGTTCCAGTTGATGCGTCAACGAACGATCATGATGAGGAGCTTATAAACGATTATCGAACCGTAGTATTAAATCGACCGCTTGAACAATTTAAAAATAATATTTTAAATGAAGACAGTCTTTTGGATGATCTTACAATTTCTCGCTTTTTACTAATGATAGAAAACCGAAATTTTACAATAGATTTACCAATAACTGCTGCGAACCCTCTTCAGCAATCAACTTCAGACAATGATTTAGCGATCATAGGTGGACAGGCAGATAATCAGCATTGGTGTTGTATACATTATGATGGTCATCAAGTAGCTATTTATGATAGCTTGAACCGAAATAATTTAAATCTGTTGCGTGAACCGGAAAAAAGATACCTACAGGTTCGATATCCACAACAATATAAACGAAAGGAAATATTTTTCAAAGTTGTAACTCGACAACCTGACGGTAGTACGTGTGGAGTGTATGCTGCTGCATACGCTACTACTATTGCATTAGATGGCAATCCATGTACGATAAATTATTCTAAAGATGCTGCAGCGATGCGAAAGCATCTTTTTCAAATAATTTCTCAGAATCAATTAGTACAATTTCCTCGTATGTCTTAATGTTGGACCAAACGTTAAGCAATCAAAATTTTATATCTTATTTACGGATATTTTAATCATGAATTTTGTTTAGAAGTTCATCATGGAATTAACTTAATACATAACGGATGTATTACTATACAATACTATACATACTACTATACATTTACACTAAAAAATTTAAGACATTTTTCATTGTTGTAGCGTTTATGATGAAAAACGATTATTTTTGTTCTGTACCGTCTATAGATTTGAAACTAGATAGAAATATTTCTGTTTTCATGTAGAAATCATCTATAAACCAATTTAACTGCTACAAGGGAATAGCGAGAGTTATATATGTGGTAGGTCAACTCTAATATGCTCGATGAAGCGATTATCTTACCTGTCACATGTGCTCCTATTCATACCTGTTTTAATGTATAAAATTTTTCATCTCCATCTTCATAGGCGTACTGGGCCGTAGCAATGACATAAAGGCCTAGTTGACAAGTGTGTGTCATTGCCTACACGAAACGCCTTTCCCCTCAAAAATTACCTTTGTCCTCCACTCTTTGTCTTTGTCGCTTTCACAACGTTTTCTAACATCTTTTAGTAGTTTACTATGAATCTTGAAATTGTTCGAATTCACTACTTACAGTTATGCAATAACGGTGACCCTAACGAGTTAGAATCACGAATAAACAACACATCTGCAGTTTTTTTAACTGCATATTGATGCGTACCTCTGTCTGCCAGATTTCATTTCCTTTCTTCGGGCACGTAAGTCCTCTGGCACTGATTATCGACTCAGATGTATCTGGGCCTTGTTTTGTACTCCTTTTGTTGAGGTAGCTTCTCTCAGAATCGTAGGTAATCAGAAGAACCCATAAGATGCACAAATCGCTAATTACAACTTTGTTTCTCAAGAGGGAAGTTCTGTAATAGTTTAGCTCTAACATGTTAGATGGAGCAAACATCACGGTTCTCAATACCTGTTTAAATATATAGAAATTTTCATCTCCTACTCCACAGGCGTAATTAGGCCGTAGCAATGATATAAAGGCCTAGCTGACGAGTGTGTATCATTGCCTACACGAAACGCCTCTATCCCCACCTATTTCTCTTGTCCATTGCTCGTTTTTCTATCTCTCTCGGTCTGACAACTTTTCCCAGCATACCTTAGTAGTTCACTGTGAATTTTACAATTACAGCAATTGACCATTTACAACAACTCTAAATATAAATATACATATATTAGGGTATGTCAAAATTCAATTTCCATCAGAAACTTTTCAAAATCGGAATATCGAGTTTTACTTTCAACAAGAGCTGTGTTCGGGAATTTTCTGAGATACTGTGGGTTGAGACGATTTATTTGATTTATATAGAATTTTTAACAGGAGCTTTGTTTGTGCACTTCCGGCCTAAATGCGGAAATTTCAGCGGAAATGCCATCAAAACTTGGCTACTATTTTCGTCATCATTCGTAAAAAATATAAATTATAAATTTCGTGTAAAATTTATATAATAAATTCAATTATAAACTGTCAGGAATATTCGGATTACTTGAAATTATGTGTACTTCAAATAAAATTAAAAAATTTTCAGTAAAAAAATTTAATTTAATCGTTCGATACTTGATTTTTTACTAAAAATCTTTTCTTCAAATGGATAATTACTTTTTTAACTTCCCGCCGAAAGAAAATTGAAAATTTTTTTTAATTATAGAAGTTATTGGTTTTACTCCGTTTTGCGAAAATCGGGTTTTCATCAGATCTCATTGCTTTGAGGTCCTATAAAGCTGCCCTAACTATTCCCTCGATGGTATCCATGCGGCTGCATATGTGTGTGTGTGTTGGTTTTTTTTTTTTTTTTTTTCCCTTTAGGGGGGGGGGGAATCCTTTTTACGGATTCTAGGCATAGATGTTGGCCCGGATATGTGGCGACTCGACGCAGCGTCATACTAAAACTTGACGCTGACGCCTCTACCCACTAAACCCTAAACCTCTTTCTCTTCTATCCTCTGATCCCCCATGGTACCGCCGTAAGGCATTTCTTCGCGGGGGGAGGAATTAGCTGCCGCTCTTCCTTCTGGTGGCTAAGATGTTATTTCTTCCTTCTAGTTTCTGTCATTCGCTCTTTTCCTCTCAATGGATCGCAACTCGGTAAGCACTTTTGTAGCAAAAGTGCTTGTGGCGTTCCAGGTAGCTTCTGATGACAGCATTGCTGCTACTATTATCTCTGGTTGGAAAAATTTCAAAAAAAATAAGAAAAAAACATTTTTGGAAGTGGTTTTTTTGCAATATCTTTTAAACGGCTCAATCGATCAACTTCACAAACTAATCCGCCCTTAAGCTTGAAAAACCACGCTGATCGGCGCTAATCCGGTCAAAATCGGTTGATTCGTTCGAGAGATATCATGAACGAAAGAAAACCGAAAAAGTGTTTTTTCGGGATTACTCCGAAATTTTCGGTTCGATCAATTAAAACCTGAAAATCACTTATGAGGATGATGAAACTGCATTGAATGGCGCCAACCGCGTGTAAATTGGTTGATCCATTGAAAAGTTATTGCGGTTTGAAAATTCTAGAAATAGTGTTCTATGAAACTTCTATCAGACTTTTGAGCTGGGAGAGCTCAAATGCATAGAAATATTATTTCTTTGAACTCAGCAAGCTCAAAATATCACATAAATCATTTTTTGAGCTTAAAAATCTCAAAAATATCATAAGTACAATTTTAAGCGCCCAGGAATAGAATTAGCGGGAAGTTGCACGGATGGCCTTTAGGGTGAACCGTTTTTCTAATTTTTTTTTTTTATTTTTTAATAAAAAATTCACTGGAATATTAAAATAATACTGGAACATTAAAAATTATGAAAAGTATTAACCACAATAATTCCATGAATAAATAATGGATGCGAGTTTTATTGATATTTTTATCTCTGCAAGTTAATCAAGACAATTTTTCAGTTAAAACTTGAATTCGAATTTAAAAGTACAATACGATATTACCCCACGAAGGAGACAAAGAACAGTTAGTCTAGTATAATCCTAGACTGGTCACCTCTTTTTTAGTTTCTTGCTTGGACTGTAGCGAGTCACGCTTACGGGTGACCAGTCTAGGGATAAATTACGAATGAAACTGCAACAGATAGGTTGAAAAGGTTGCTATAGGAACCAAGTATGATGAGATATTTTAAAATAATTGAATTAAGCAGTTCTCAGCTAGATAAATGAGAGACGATAAATGGGTCGAGCTGCTGTTGATAGAGTTTTGGTCAAAGAGGAGGTAATTATACATTTATTTCATCCGTATCAAATAATATCGTAATTTTATGAAAACCCGTTGAATTCATTGATAAAACATTAAAAACTTTCAGAAACTACTTGGAATTTTCATTGGACATTGAAAAAAAAAGAGATTGTGAAGAATGTAAGGCAGTAAAAGTGGGCTCAAGAAATCGAGCAACCGTAAGAATCAGTGCTGGGATGTTCGACTGTAATAAAATCAATGACTTGGACGCAGACACCGTTAACATTATCCGAGCAACAATTTACAATCATTATATGTTATTGTTACTTTATTATAAGATTCTCAGTTCTTAGATTAAAATTAATTGTTATTTTGCTGAAACAAATTTCATGTACTAAATTTTTTTTGTCAGTCTAATATAAATTTTAGTGAAAAGAAACATTTTTTTTATCAGTATAAAAAAAAAA